GTGGTGGGGGAGGGGGGGGGGGAGGGGGAGGTCTTGGGTCAGATTGAGGAGGAAAGGAATGTGTTTTAAATTGGGAAGAAGATTAATTTGGGAATTGATTTTCTTGGGCAGTGGGTTTGGGGTGTAAAAGCATGAAAACTTGGGTCAAGGTGCCCCCAAGTGGTTGACTCTAGTTGGGGGGTGGGGATGCATGACCCAATTAAATTTGGTTCCCCCAAGCACTTTTCCCTTTAATAATAATGTAATTTCAACCTACTCAAATGGTGAACTTACCATGCCACACACATAACCCCTTTTAATGTAGCACACCATACACAAAAACATCCGGTTATAGAGTTTACAATATTACACCATACTGTACATATTTCTTTGATTATGACATAATCTGTAGTATAATATAATTATAATATAGTGTCCAGTACAACATAGTTATAAAAAATTACTAATTAGTAAAACTATCCATATTTTAGTATAAAATAGATATATCTAATAATAACTAATTAACCTGATTTAATAAGAGTGAGGGTTATGAGAAGAATTTGAAGGGTTCTAATTTATTTATGTTTTAACATACTGACACACTTTAATAATAGTATTAGATATTATATTAGATATGTAAGAAAATATTCGTGAACTAGGATGGTTAGAATTTAGATCAAACCAATGAAAGCTCTACTTAATAAAGCATATATGAGTTAAATTTCCACATACGTATGTTGTGTTCGCTTTTCTTTCTGAATACTATTTTTAGAATAATCATAATTTTTATCAAAGCCAATAAGGTTAGTCTATCCTTTAGAAAATGTTGACCAATTTACCGTACAGATTCAAATTATTAGCTATAATCTGAATACTCCGATGATCAAAATAATAGCACTAATAAGTCACATTAGACAAAACAAGTTACATTGCGAAGGGACACATCACGCTTCCTTCAGCTCTTTGTTTTCAGGTGTATAAACTAAAAAATGAATATCACAGTGCAAATATACATGTAAAATGTGCATTACAAGCTTTCGATGCCAACGGTGAAGAACTGGCCTCTAGCAAAGCTAAAACCGTCATAACTGTTTTTCCCCTCCACCGCCATTCTGTTTCCATCATGCAACCGTAATCAACTTCCTGACCCTGAAATTTTAACCGCCTCCGCACCCTCTGAAATTACATGTTCAACAAAAATTATCCACTGCAATGCAAACTTTTCCAAGGACTAAAACGTAAAACAAGCCCATGAAAACAAAAATTATAAATTCATTTCCTTTTATTAAATGAGAAAAAAAATAATTACGGGAAATGGAAAGGGCACGGGGTTTCCGTTTCTGAAAGCAACCACGGCATGCGGTCAACCCTCATTGACCACAAAAATCCTGCACCGAGGGCAAACTCGACAGTTCCTCTTACCCCCGAGAGTGCCTGAGGGTATTTATAACCAAACTCCTGTCCGCGTTCCTCCCAAATCTCTCCCAATCCTCATCCCATCGCCCTTATCGGATCCTTGCGATGCAAACCCGAAGTGGGTTTTTCTACCCCAAACCCGAACTCGACGCCTCCGCCGTCAAGGGCAAGCGGAGAAGGGAAGAGCTGGGCTTAAAACATTGTGGTGGTTTCCGCAGGAAAAAGATCCGGCAGGTGGCGGCGCCGGTCGCCGGAGTCGATTTCTTCGATGGGTTGCCGGACGATCTCGTGCTCTGTGTCCTCTGCAAGCTGAGCTCCTCTGCTCGTTGCCCCTCCGATCTCGTCAACATCCTCATGACGTAAGAATCAAACAAGCAGCAAAGCTCCCATCTTTTTTTCCATCGGGGGAGGGGGGGATTTTTTTTTTCCTGAAAAATCGATCGATTATATATCTATATTTTTTTGTTTATTTCAGATGCAAGAGATTCAACGGATTAGGGGTGAATCCTATGGTCCTGGCAAAAGCATCGGCGAAATCGCTGGCGGTTAGAGCTAAGAATTGGTCGGAGCAAGCTCACCGCTTCCTGAAGCGCTGTGCAGATTCCGGCAACCTCGAAGCCTGCTATATCCTCGGCATGGTAAGCACAACTTGTCCGATAAAAGACTTCGGAGCCGGTAATTTAATTTATTTAATTAATTAAAAAAGAAGAAGAAGAAGAAGAAGAAGAAGCCCGAACCTGATGTTGTGTTGTATTGATGATTGTTCAGATCAAATTCTACTGCCTGCAAAACC